TTTTGCATTACTCTGTGAGTGGGCAACGTAGTGAGTCTTTATACAGTGAGTGAAGTGATAATTAGTCCTATATATGGACGCTCTTGCAAAATTTTTGGTATCAAACAGGAAATTAGTGACTCAGACTCTGATAGCCAGTCATCTATTAATTTACAGGAACTAGTGGCAACTGATAGTGAGGAAGAATTACCACAAATTAGCCAAATAGAGTTAACATCTACCGACTCTTTAGCTACCTGTGAAAATTTCATTGATTCTCAGTTTGAGGATTTACACACTAGACAATTAAGGTCAGGTAACATTTACCCATTGCCTTCACCTGTTACTAACGCTAGTGCTTTAACTAACACAACAAAAATGGCAACTGGTGGTTCTACTAACCCACAGACTACATCGGTCTGTCAAACGGTAAAGCTCCTTCCAAATAACATTAACTGCCGAGGATCCTGATTATACTAGTTTAGCATTTTTGCGTAAATGTGAAGATGTAATGAGAAATAACTATGTCACCAATGACGCAGATAAAATTTCATACGTCCGAAGCCTTATCAAAACCGGTAGTCGTGCAGCTAGAGGTATCTATGCTTCAGCCATTGACGTAGAAACGGATGATTATCAATCATTTAGTTATCAATCAATCAATTAATTTCCTTTTTTGGACCGGGTGCCAAAGGAGGTCCACTTACTTGGATTTTTAAGATGGCAAAGCGGACAGGTGACACTCTGCTCGCACATGAAGCACAACATGCCCAAATTTGTGCGGGACTCACTAAGATAGATCTCAAATCTTATATGGATTCCTCAGATTGGTTCGATAAAAATGACAACTTGTCTACAGTAAATTTGTACAGAGTTATTGAATTCCTTCAGTTTAACTTGTCATCAAATGAATCCTTATGCACAAAAGCCCAAAAGAAAGAGTTTAAAAATGGGACTAAACTTGTAGAATACGTAGAAGAAATTGCGGAACCCAAGGAAAATATTCCTAGGGCGATGTCAGTAGCACCAGTCACCAGCTTCAAGGAACAACCACAGTCTGTCATGGGAACCAAACCCAAAAAGAAACTTTTTTGCAAAGTCTGCAAACGTAAGGGACATACCACAGAAAAATGCTGGTTTGCAGGAAATGCAGATAAGTCCCCAGCCAGCCAGAGGCAGGATCGAAGAAAGGAATCCTCGCAGAATTTAAAATATCAGATAGTCCTGCTAAACCAAAAACTCCAAAGGGACATTACGCTGGAAATAAAATGTCTCCACACACTAAAAGCACTCCGAATAAATGGTGTATAGTACAATCAGTCTCCATACCACAACACAGAAGATTGTAGAAATATACAGAGTATGAGGCAAGAAATGGAAAATCGACGGGAGGCAAGTATACAGCCTTCAGGGGAAGAGGAGCGCGACCAGCAACACGATCTAGGATAGCGTCAACGGTTCAAGAAAACAACGCTTCCATCAAAGGCTCATTAATTGCCGCGTTAAACAAAATGGAGGTGTTGACTCTAACAGCGAGGATGGTAACGATGAGTTATCCCTAGATATAGATAAGGGGGCCTGTGTCAATGTTATCTCATTAAAGTCGTTCAACGAAATCCAACGGCGATATCTGGCCAATACCCAAGATTCCTCAAACCACCATTATAAAGGTAATAGTACCAATCCGTTTTTCTAGGTCCACTAAAGCGTTTTTCGCGGATTTCTACATAGGTAAAGCATTTTCTTTGCCAGCGGACGGGTTACTTGGTCTGATCACTCTAAGACAGAACAATATTAACGTTCAGCCAAAAGATCAAACAATCACACATAACTGTAAAACATATCACGCAATGCAAACTTCACATCCATTGCTACTTCAGGTGTTCATGTAATAACTGCCTCGACAGGCGCGGGAGAGTCATTGTCACAGCAGCAATTAGTTATAGATTCACTCTCTGAAACTCCAACTAGTAACTCAAAGTACATTTCTGATGAAAGCGGACAGAGCTGGACTCTAACGCCTGCTGTGTTAACTGGTGTACAACGGTTACATAGCCAGGAACTAACTAGAGTCACAGTACGTTTGGCAAATGTGAGTGAAGGAACAGATGTTGTGTGTCTGACTGAAAGTTCACGAGTGAAAGGTTTGTCACTTGAGTCTACCTTAAGCACTTTTATAATAGGTAGTCTAACAGATGTCCTCGTTCTCAATAGAACTGGGGGACCCATAACCTTAAGAAAGGGGTGTTGTTTAGGTAATTTCCTTGTTTATGACAAAGCGGTTGTCGAAGAGCCATTAGAATTACCAATAAGTAGTGTAACACATGGTAAATCGAACGAAAAATCACATATTGTAAATGCTGTAGCGTTAATAGCGCCACACGTGAAAGTAGTCGATCATCCTCGAGGCAAAAGTGGTCTTTTAGAATTACTCGCCGAGCTCAAGGAAATCATAACATTACCTGGAGAACCCCTAGGTAAAGCAACGTTGACAAATCATCATATACCACTTAAACCGTAAACTAACCCAATCTACATCCCAGCATATAGACTACCTCACAGCAGAAGAGCGGTAGTCCATCAGATAGTGTAAGACATGGTGGACCAAAAGGTAATCCAACCTTCCTCATCACCATGGAACTCACCTTCATTTTTAGTTCCCAAGAAAGATGGAGGATGGAGACCAGTCACAGATTTTCGAAGAGTCAACCAGGTAACTGTACCAGACAGGTTCCCAATGCCTGTCCTTACTGACTTACTACAGTCACAAGGAAAAGACAACGCAGTCTTCAGCAACTTAGATTTACTTAGCGGGTACTGGCAAATGCGTTCAGTACGCCTATGGGACATTTCGAATTCTTAAGAATGCCATTTGGCCTAAGAAATGTGCCGCTAACATTCCAAAGAACGATAAACACCGTGTTTGCTGGAATGATAGGCAACACAGTCTTTGCCTATCTAGATGATCTTATCATAGTAAGCAGGAAAGTGAAACTTTCCAAATGTGAATTTCTCAAATCCAGAATCCAATTTCTTGGACACTTAGTAGATGGCAATGGTATACACACAGTAGATTGCAAGGTAAAGGCGGTGAAGCAATCCCTTGTCCCAAAAACTTAGATCAACTTCGTAGTTTCCTAGGATTATCAGGATACTACCGTTCTTTCATTGAAGGTTATGCCAAGTTAGCATCACAACTCACAAAACTCCTCACAAAGGATGTGGAGTTTACATGGAATAAAGAACAAGAGGACAGTTTTAATGCCCTCAAGAGCGCTTTAACGAAAGCTCCAGTGTTAGCCTTTCCGGAATACATGAAACCATTTACCATGCTTCGGGCCTAGGTTTAGGGGCAGTGCTCAGGCAAACTGATCATCGAGGAAAATGGCGAGTGCCAATAACCAGCTACCACTGTAGAATAGCTCAAGCATTTTCCGGATCTCATTTTGGGATATCCGATCACAGTCCACTCAGATCATGTAGCCGTGACAGAACTATTTAATGGGAAGAACTTATCACTGCATTTAGCGCGCTGGTATCTGACCATACAGGAGTTCGCACCCTACTTCAAGTATTTGCCGGGTCGTGCGAACGTGGTAGCTGATTCACTATTTAGACACATAGCTCCTGTCACGCCACTACCAACGTTCACCCTGTCACAATTAAGGGCGGAACAGTTACAGGATCCATTATGGTCCAAGGTTATATATGCCTTAGAATTGGGAGATGAGGTAAATTTGCCCAAATTACCTCTACCACTCTCACAGTTTGAGCTGCGGCACAACATACTATATCGCTCAGTGAAAACACAACACGAGTCTATCTCTCTGTAAGGGCGGAAACGATCCTCCTGCTGGTTACCTCTGCTAACTCGCTCGTTTGCTGGTGCAGACGACACTTGGGGTGGTTGGACGGAGGTGAGAACGGCAGCCACTATCTGCGCCACCGGCAGATTCAACCCAGCCGCCATACTGTCAGTATCTAGCTACCCTGCTGTCCGTCAAATTCTGGCTGTGATCTCATCATAGGTCCTGGACTCGTGGGCTGTGTTCCCAGACCTTCACCTATCAACTGCCAACTCTCTGGTCATCTACCACTACCGCATACCCCGACCGTCAGTTCCTCACATTCCGTCTGTGCCCCGGTGTTCTCCTGCCTTTTCAAGACGTCGCTGAGTGTGGAGTGAATGGACGCTTCCCTACCCTGAGTGTGCATCACCCTGTTCCAGAACCTTCCCCCAGGGCCACTGCCGTAGGAAATATTTGTTCATCGTTTGATTCTATGATTGTTTGATTCCATTAATTGCGGACTCCCCTTTATTGTTCTATTCTATCAATTGTTGACTCCATTTCATTGTTTGAATCCATTATTTGCTGACTCCCTTTATTTGTTTGATTCCTTTAATTGTTTGCTTCCATTAATTGTTTGACCCCATTATCTGTTGACTGCCTTAATTGTTTGACTCACGTAATTATTTGATGTTTGTTGAGTGGTGTCAGAGTTTTGTGTTATATTTTTATAGTAAAGAGATGCCAATCTCAAACGGTTGTTTGTTATTCCTCGGAAAACCATGGTCCTTGACTTTCCTTTATTAAGATCCTGATTAGCCTGGTAACCCAGGCCTACACCTCAAAATTGTTATTCCTACAAAGCGTACCCTGGGCATCCAGGGCGAGATAGATGTTTAAAAAAATTAGACAAAAATATTTTTGGAAAACTATGAGGACCGACATCGAGCATCACATTGCTAAATGTTTATCTTGTGCAAAACACAAGGGGACAACGATAGACCCCGCCCCAATCTTAGAATACCCGACGCCGGAACGTCCATGGAATACAGTTGCGATCAATTTATTGCAACTACCAAAAATCCATCAAGGCTCTAATTACGTACTTGTCTGTGTTGACCACTTCTCTAGATTTGTGGTACTACCACCATTGCAGAACAAGTCCGCCGAATCAGTGGCTCATGCATTAGTCACTCATCTAATCTGTCCTTTTTTCTACACCTAGAGTGATACTCTCGGATAACGGGGCAGAATTTAAGAATCAACTCTTAACTGCAATATGTCAATAATATGACATCACACAAACCTTCACAACCACCTACCATCCATCTTCAAATAGGTTGGTGGAGCGTGCGAATAGAAAAAATCTTGAGATTCTCCGACATGTGGTGAATCCAATGCATAGTTCGAGGGAGGACTGGCTTCCACAGGTTGCAGCGTCCATCAATGGATCTATAAATAGCTTTACAGGCAAATCGCCATACTACATAATTTATGGTACCGATAAATGCTTGCCATATGATCTACTAGCAAGAACCCCATAACCTGTGTACAACATGGATGACAGTGCCAAGAAACAAATCAATGTTTTCACAAGCATCCATGGAAAAGTACGAAAACACTTAGCAGCCTCACGTGCTGAAATGATCTGCAAGCAACATAAAAAAGCTAAGCCTATAAAATTAGAAATAGGAGACAAAGTGATGATAAAAGCGTCGGAGCGCATATCAAAACTCTCACCTAAATTTACAGGTCCGTACGTGATTAGAGAGAAAGAACATGGAAACAAATTTCAAGTAGTTGAGCCAACGTCAAATGTCACAGATATAGTACATGTAAATAGAATGAAAAAAAAAAGTCAACAGAGAATTAGTAGGGATTCCTAATGTCAGTCAGGTACATCCTACTTCTACTACAACAGTTGCTCAACAAAATATAACGATAGACAATACATATCGTCAAAAACAACGATCAGAAACCACAAATCGTTAATTATCCTCGCCTCATTCAGGCATGGCTTGGATATCACTAGTACTGTTGGTATGGAGTGCGGTAACAGCAGCCGCATCCCCAGCAGATGTCGTCAAACCCGGACCTTTAGTTGCCCCACTAGGCAAAGTACTGGTAGTACAAGACGTTGTAACTGTCAAATACGAGCTCCATGACTTAATGCGCATGCCAGTGCATCTGAGGTCGATAGCAGTCCACATTGAAACAGCTATGCAAACTATGCAAGATTTAAAACAACAATCTACAGTCTCTACAACAATCCGTCAGACCATCTCTCTTCAACACGACCGTATGAATAGTCTACTCAGGCAAATAAAAGCATATCTCAAAACTAATATCGTCTAACTCCTATCTTCCCGGGAGCATAGAGTGGAATATTAGCCGCATGACCGGCTTAAACATTAACACACCAAGGAAATACCATACATTCCACTAAAATCTGCAAAAGATTTGGATACATGGCATTTGGAACTATTTCCCGAGTGAAAGCGGGTGAGGGACTGCTAGATTAACATTTAAACTTCGCAAGTAAGTTTGACCGTGTTCAACGCGTCCCAGGAAGCCAACTCCTCAGCTCCGCGACATCATAACGACATTCTCATCCCCCCTCCTGACCATGACAAAAGTGTTTTATCAAGTTTACATGACAAAGTGTTTTAACATCCGTCGAAGTAAACTTCAAAGGCACCACTATCTTCGTCAACGAGGATCTCTGCCCAGGTACGAATAAAGCCCGTCTACAGCAAATGGACCAGTTTAAAGAAGCCAGGAAACAAGGGAAACACGTGACGTTCAGTCATAAAACCCTTGTTATGAGGGATCGGGCAAGTGGACACCCGCCCACTCACCCACCCGCTGTGCCAACCCACCCAAGCCCCTCGAGAACCCCCACCCCGCTGAGGGGGAACCAGCCACTGTCGCTATCAATTGAGGAGTTTTCCCCCCTGCCGGCCAACTCGAGTACTACACGTTTACCCTCTGTGGTGGAAACCAGCATCCCTCAAAACCGAATGACAGGCGTACCTCCCACTCTATCTGGGAATCACCCTCAACATTTTCGGTCATCCCTAATTCTGTTGGATTTAGCAACACTTCGTAATTTGGTCTTACTATTATAATTTTCATAGATCTTCCTTTTTCACTCCACAGTGACCATGAGTTTTTATGTTCCTTAATCAGTATCAATGTTCCCACAATGATGATGCTAGTGTCATTCCCTTAGATGTGCTAGATCGTATGTGTTACACCCCATTTACCCATGATGTCAACACAATACTCCCTCATATCGATCCTGATGCCTTTCCACAAAACTCACTGGGTTACACCAACCCAAACTGTAACTATTACTTTCCTGACTCTCCCGAGTTTTGTTATAGTCTCCTACTACCTCATTGCTTCTCCTTGATTAGCCATAACATCAGCAGTATTCCTCTTCATCTAGATACTTTTTTAGATCAGTGTTTATCTTCTATTGCCTACAAATTTGATGTACTTGGGTTCTGTGAGACCAAACTCGCCAACGATATTGACCATTTGTATAACATTCCTAACTATAATAGACACCTCGTCAACACATCACAACACAGTGGTGGTGTCGCAATATATATTGATATCAAGTATAACACTTCTGCAAGAGATGATTTAAAGGTTCAGGATGAGTATATGGAGAGTGTTTTCATGAATTACGTAACGACACACGAAATATCTTAGTAAGAGTAATCTACAGAAGACCCCACACTAATGTAAGGAATTTTCTTGATAAATTTTCGGAGCTTATCACTATCATATGTTCAGAGAGGAAACATTGCTACATTACAAGAGATTTCAACCTTGATCTATTAAACTCAGAAACCGACACCTCAGTATTAGATCTTCTTGCTACCTGTCATTCTAAACTCCTCTTCAACACTATAAGCAAACCCACTAGAGTAACTGCCACCTTTGCCACTGTGATAGATCATATCTGGACTAACAACACTCCTAACAATCTTGCAAGTGGAATTATTTTTAACAATATCTCAGATCACTTCCCAGTTTTTGCCATGTATAAAACAGCAACAAGCCTGAAAGGTCTAGTAAAGTCTTAATACAATACAGAGACTACTGCACCGACAACATGCTCCTTTTATAAAACCACGTAATGAATGTTAACTGGGATCCTGTCTATGCCTCCGATAACCCTAACATGAACAGCTGCAACTTCTCTTGCATATCCAATGCTTGCTTTGATAAATGCTTCCCGCTCAAGACTAAGTCAGTGAAAACTGTTTCCATTTCCAAAACCTATATACCAACCAAATTAAGATAATGATAAAAGAAAAACACAAACTCCAAAGGAAATTTGCAAAAAGACCCATAACTTTTGGTGATGCTTACCGAAGTATCAGATGTAACTATTATACAAATATGCTCCAGTCATCATCAGGCGACAGTAAGAAAACCTGGAATGTCATAAATTCTATTCAGAACAGGAACACTCGGCCTTCGGCCCCCACTCAGCTTTTATGATAGATGATTCAGTTGTAACGGAACCCTCCCCCATTGCC